AAAAAAAGAATCTTTGGCACCACAGTTACTGTTTCATCAGCAAAACTGTAATCAAATGCTTTAGTAAAGTTGGATCCACTGGAGAGCAACGTTCTGGGTATTTTGATGCGTGCACGTGATAAGTAAAAGCTGAAGGGGGCGGGTGGAGTGAGAGACGGAACAATGGGCGAGTTATTTTAGGGTACAGCGACTTTGTAGGGGCTCCCAGGGACGTTGTCATCACCCCACTTGACAATGACAGTGTAGCTGCCCTTGTCCTTGACGGTGTAGGTGACGTTGTAGAGCTTGTTGCCCATGTGTTTGACGTACACCTCCTCGCACGGAGCTTGCGGCCCATGTACGCCCACCATCAGCATGTTGGTACCTAGACGGAACAGCGAGAGGGGGATTTAATGAGTGTGAACTTTTGTACTGATTTCACAGTCCGCAGATTTATACTCTTGTCGAAGGTATCTGTCTCACATGCACGACTTCCTCACCTGCTTTGCTGCAGTCGACTGTAAAATTGTTTTTCTGTCCAATCATAGCCTTAGACAGACCCGCTCCGCGACACACCACTTTGCTGGCGTCAGATGACAGCTTCGTTGAGCTGGAGGTGGAGGAGGCGCTGTAAGCACCTCCCACCTTGGAAGACTTGGTAACTGTTTCCACCAAAACAGATGAAGTCTCGTGGAGACTGTGCCCCCCTGAGAGTCGGACGCCTGAAGATGAAAAGAAGACACAGTGAGAACATTAATTACAGAACCAAGACAAGGACCAATAAATTAGAGAGGAAAAGAAGCATCTGTGGAGGGTTGATCATTCAGGTCAATACTCCCTCGGAGCATAAAGGAAGTCCACCTGTCTGGCCTTTTGTGTATGAATTGCTTTGAAGAAAACCACCCAAGTCCTCTTTACTCTGTCTACTCTCCGGAAGAGCACTGCAGTCACTGCGATTTTCAGTGAGAAAATTGTTCTCTACAGGAAAAGTGTCAACTATGGACAGTCGTCGTGTTTCAGCTCACCGAAAAATACAAGTACACTTTTCTATGCATTTCCGGGGAACATAACAAATTTGTAAAATACAATTTTGATGCAGCAAGACGTCAGTATTTATCACTGCAGGGGCTGGAAAATGCAGTCTCCACAGGAAATGTACACTGAGCAGTATAAACCCAGATGACTCAAAATTCTCCTGACTTCCACACTTTACTCAGAAGGACATTTGTTCCGCGAGTGAGACACTTGTCATCTGTGATCCACAGATCAGATGGGAGAACGACTGTGAAGCCAACCTGTGATTTTAGCTTTGAAAGGGCTGCCCACGATGTGCTGCGGCCCGCCGTATTTGATGGTGATGAGATAGTTGCCAGGTGCCATTGGTGTGTAGGTGATTTTGTAGCCTTCGGGACACTCCCGACAGTCCATCTTAACCTTGGATGGACCGTCGATGTTGACAGACAGAGTGCCTGAGCCTGCATTACAGGTGTTGATGACAAACTCCGTAGCCACGCCTGTAAGACAA